TGACATGAGAGAGGAGAAGGGGGGAGGAAGGGAAGGAAAGAAGAGAGGATAGAATAAGAAGGTAAGAAAAATAAAATATTAAAGAATAAAAAAGAAAGGAGAGGAGAGAGACTTAAAAAAATTAAAAGTGAGGGACAGAAAGAAAAGTAAACTAATGTTGGTTGGAAGAGAAAAGAGATGGATGGATGATGGATGGATGATGGATGGATGATGGATGGATGATGGATGGATGATGGATGGATGATGGATGGATGATGAATGATGGATGGATGATGGATGGATGATGGATGGATGATGGATGGATGATGGATGGGTGATGGATGATGGATGGATGATGGATGGATGACGGATGGATGATGGATGGATGGATGATGGATGATGAGGAACATCTAGACTGCAGCAACACGAACGAAAGAAGAAATTTAATTTGTTGACGTAAATTAAAACAGCTGATAAAAGTTTAGGTGTAGACATCACACGTATGCTGTCATGTCAGAAATGGACAGATCTCAGGCTCCACCCACAGGAACTTGTCATAAACCTCATCACCGTTGCTATGGTTACATCTGGAGTTCTCCAGCCTCTGGATCAGAGACGTGAGTGAACTGATCTCGTTTTATTTTGAAACTCTGGTTTTGTGTTGTAGTCTGAACAGGAAGTGAGACTTTATTAAACGGTGACGCCCACGCTCTCTTCTGATTGGTTTTGATTCGACTACCAGCGGTGAAGACAAAGCCTCGCTAACACTTCCTGTCAGTAACAGTTTCACCTGCTCTGACTTTTCACCATCACTGCTCCTCCTTCAGAGGAGTTTGTGTTACTTAGCAACCAACTGCAGAGGAGACCATCTACTTCCTGTTTACATCACATGACCAGTGGTCACATGACATGGGACAGTGTTGACATTGTGGCCGACGCCACCCTCCACTGCTCATCTCTCATATAGGGATATATATCATATAGGGGTTAGGGACTAACATACTGGACTGGATGGGCTCACTTGCAGCATATGTTCATGTCAGTGTGAGTTGAGCCTCTTTCCTGGTTCAATCAGTAAAAGTCTTTTATTTAAAACATACATGTCTTTGATATATCTTGTCTTTGATCATCAACTTAATACTGATCTTTATTTATGAGCTCAAATATTTTGTACATTATTTTCTGTATCATATCACACTTGTTATTTTTACAGTGCAGAAGCACAATACTGTCCTCTCTCTCCCTTCCCCCATCCTGTCAGCATTGCTCGCTCTATCCTCACCCATCCCCCTCCCTCTCCTCTCTCTCCTCCATCTTCTCCTCCTCTTCCTCCCCTCCCCTCCCCCACCTCATCTCTCTCTACTCCTCTCAGTCTTCCACTCTTGCTCATCTTCAACTCCCTCCTTCTATCTTCTTCCATCCTCGTTCTCTTTCTCACTGTCTCTTTCTCACTGTCTCTCTGTCTCTCTCTCTCTCTCTCTCTCTCTCTCTCTCTCTCTCACTCTCTCTCTACTGCAGGCTGTCACTGTTCCGTCACGTTCATCAGATTCATTTCTTCATGAATACGTGTACGTTCTCACATTTACATTTTTTGTGCAAAATTAATTGAAATAAGAAATCCTTTTTCTAGCGTCGCCTCTCAGCTCTTTTGACCTCGTGACCTTGTTTTCTATAAAATAATTCCGCTCTCACAACTGATTCTAGTTTTCTTGTTGAAAATTAGTATCAACGTTTCAACTCTTTCTTCTTTCGTTGAATCAGAGCGTAAATGTCAAAGTGCAGAAAACGTCACATGGTGGAATTTTATATCTGTCTCGTAAAACTCATATTATTATTATAAATTACTTTGTTTAAAAAAACTTTTAGTGACTTTTATATTTATATCAACTGAGAGAATGACAGAAACATGTTGTAATACATTTATCTGAAAATTTATTTACTTTATTTCGAAATTATTTTAAAAAACAGAAACATGTTTTCCACCGCAGCTGTGACTGTCGGCCATTTTGAATTGAATGTGTGAATTTTGGAGCCAAGGTAAAAGCTGTTGTGTGTTTTTATTTGTCTTCATCATCACCGAGGAAACGACTGCAGAAAACATCACAACAAATATTGTTTTAAGGTCGACACATTAATAAAAGTTCGTTAAGGCCACTTGAGGGCAGAAAGTGCTAAAAGTTGTACTGCTTAAACGCAACATATCATTTTCTGCCACCAGGGGGCGTCTCAGTCATAACAGCAACTAAAGTGTTTAGTGTGTTGTTGAGGCAGTGCGGGAGTTGTAGTCTTCAGTATGCATTAGTTGTTTTGGTGCAGTAATGAGGGAGGATGGGAGTTGTAGTTTTCAGTACGAGTTAGTTGGCTGAGCTAACGGCTGACAAGTGTTACGTTCACCAGCAGAGGGCGAGCAGGAGGTGAGAGGCTGGTTTATGCTCAGACAGTAAATACAGAGCACAGAGATGCATCGGTGTGTGATCACTTTATTTCAGTCAGGAACACTTTGTTATCATTTACCCATTTGTTGCAAACAGGGACACGGTTATGATCGGAGCTGAAGGCTCCATTCCTTGGATGTTCCCTGGATTAGCCGAGCAGCGTGCTAAGATAAAACAGGGAACATGTGCAGAGCCCCCTGTTGGGTGCAGCAGGTAATGTGCCTTTGTTTAGGATGAATATCGTTTACCATGACTGTGTTTAGACTTGGTGCTAAAAGAAGAAGATTTACTTTTACTGTCATGTTTTACATTTTTTACATGCATACATGAAATGGTTCTCCACATTTAACCCAACCTGTCGAAACACGCACATGCATAGAAACACACAGTGACAGATGCCATGTACACACATATACTGGAGCGGTGGGCTGCCGTTGTCAGTGCCTGGGGAGCAGATGTTGGGGGGAGGGGGGCGGTGCCTTGCTCAAACAGCGGGAGTGGAGATTGAACCGCCAACCTTCTGGTTATTGGATGACCTGCTCTACCGCTGAGCCACAGCCGCCCCATACAAGATGGAGGCTGGGGTGGTGGAGGCAGTGTAGCTGAGCAGGGATCAGTGAGGATGAGGTCGTATTTAAAGGGACCACTTTGAGAATGAGCTGTGATTGGTGGGTGACTGACGAGCATCGGTTTATTTTTCGCTGATGTTTTGTTCTGTGTAAAAAGTGACAATCTTTCAATATGGCCGACAGAAGGCTGTTTCCTTCCAGAAGATCCGACAAACACAGTCGAGGTGTTTTTCCTCAGCGTTGGGTGTGTTGATGGCAGCAGCTGATTGGTGGACATTGTCTCATTGTCATGGGTCTTATCTGCTCAGGACAGACTTGTTTGTCATTATTGTGTTTGTTTGTGTTTCCCATCATCCTCAGAGGCAGAGGTGCCGTTAAACTAACCTTCGGAGGACGTTAGGTGACGGCTGAACCCTGTTAGACTGTGTGAGACGCTTTTGGACCGTTGTTCTGTTTGAACTGTGTAAGATCCACTGTGTTTGCATCCTGGTTAGACCTGGTTTAGAACCCGTAGGACCTTGACACGCCTGTTAGATGCTGTGAGACTCAGAAAGACACATTGAACCTATGTTAGACCCTTGTTGTTTGGATCCGACTTCTTGACCATTGTTCCATTAGACCCAGTAAGACCTGAGTAGGACACAAACCCTGTTGGACCCTCTTAGACCTCTCTGTAGGACTGTGTTAGACCCTGTCTCTCACATGTCTGTTTCTCACCTGTCTGTCTCTCACCTGTCTGTCTCTTCTATGCCTGTCTCTCACCTGTCTGT